GAGAGAGAGAGAGAGAGAGAGAGAGAGAGAGAGAGAGAGAGAGAGAGAGAGAGAAGCAATTCTCTTGTTTAATGCATTTAGTAAAGAATCCTCTAGTACAGGGGTGTTAAACTGCCGGCCCGCAGGCTGGATGCGTCACACCAAAACTGGGCCCACCTCTTTGCCGGCAATGGGAAAAAAGTTGCAATACGTCGCGACACGTCATGTGACATCATGAGTTTGACACCCGTGCTCTAGTAGTAAGATCTAGCATTAACTTGTCCAGGGTGGAAAAGAATATTTTTCTTACAATAACACTAGACTAGTAGTTTCTACTACATGCTACCTTATTTTCTCCTGTCTGCTGTTTCAGGTTCAGATATATTATTTTTCCAAAATGTGAGTGGGTGCTTCTGAAAAGTCAGTGGGCTTCAAGGATACTAGTTTTATCTTGGGTAGAACATGGACTGGAACTGCACATCATAAAATCATGACTTGTATAGGAGTTTGGCTTTTAATCTAAGTTTTACAAAGCAGACAAAACTTGTGCAAGCTAACTCTGATGACTTGGAGATTTGAGATATTAAAACAGTATGATTTCATTCAGATTTGTGATTTCCTGCATGATAACACTGATATTACCTAGTTGGCTAATCAAATGTCTGCAAGAAAACAACCAAGCTCAGAGAGCACCAAGGACACCATAGATTTGTGATTTCAGATTCAAAGACATATGGATTCAATGTGGACTGCATTGATGAGGTTATGTAAAAAAAATCCATTTGAATGGAAACATTCAAATTTTCCAGTAGCTTCATTTTGGGCAGACCCAGACAAAAATAGGATTGTACATCCATTACCAGACATTAACCCTGCCAGTTTTTACATTTATGGTGCCTCTTTTAATGAGCAATAGGGATGAAAAAAGGAGTACATGAAAAGGGATCATTGATTTGTTCTTGTACAAAAAATAACTTAGTGGGGGGGAAGGGGAAGAACAGCTGAAAGGAAAACTTGATCCTTCATGGAAAGCCCCCCCCCCCAATCATTAGTTTCAGTGAGATACCAGCCTGGACAGGGTAAATTGATAAAGCTTGCCCTCTCATGGGCAGGGCTCAGTTTTATCCAGGCTGTCTCTGGCTGGCAATGTTCTATGTGCTTTACTTAGCATAGGCATCAGCAAATGTGGGATAGTGAGATAAGCAGGTTACAGAGAAAGTCTGGCACAAACAAGATGACATTTGTAGCCGCATCACCCCTTGAAAGCAATTAACATTTGGTCCAGCAGCTGTTGTGTTAGCCTAATGTCTATGCATTAATGAGAGCCTTTAATCCCTCAAGCTATGCAGAATGTAAAAATAAGGTTTGATCTTAAAGCAAGCCCTTGATTGGTCAATCCTGAGTCCACATCATATCGCTGAGAATTGAGCTTAGAAACTGAAGGAAGCTTAAAGTAGAACTATGATAGGAAGAGACTTTAATTAAGTGAAAAATCCATTGCTCAATCACTCATAGTGTCAGAGTCTTTTGATATTCAACCCACTACTTGGAATTCTCCATATGTAGAAATGAAGTTATAATATTGTAGAGTGTCTGTAATAAAGCCTGAAGCAGCCAGAACAAACAGAAAAACAAAACAAATCTGTTATTTGTGTGCATGGCCTGGAGCACTCTGTTGCCATTTTATTTGATTTGTTGCACCGAGTCTCTGATTCATAATTTTTTATTGATAGATAACTTTGCTGAATTGATGTGCCCCTTCAAAGTTTTGTATAGCACATATAATATGAATAGAGAATACTTTTTTTCCTCTCATAATGACAAAACTCTGGATGCTCCAATGAAAATAAATACAAGATGATTCTGGACTAATAAGGGTATTTTTTGTTGTTGTTTGCTTTTACCTAATGCTTAGTGTAATGTATTGTGTTAAACTTATGTAAAAGTGCAGAGGTCTGTGCAAGGACCGTTAGCAGACCACGTGACCTGCTAGCCAGACTTGCTATCTGCAAGGTTGATTAGTATGCATTTGAGCGGGAGAATACGGTGCATTCATTGGCTGACGCCGCCCAAAGCTAAATGTATAAATAGGGGCGGAGCCAGGCTTGTTAGTTTCTGTTTTGTCTTCAATAAAGAAGTACTTGTTTAATACTCCTGCCTCTTCAATGCTGAACCCAGCAGAAAACAGAACATTGGTGATGAAAGTGGGATCGTGCTGCCGAAATTCGATGAGCTGAGTCACTATGGGGAAAGGCCTAGCAAGCGCCTAGGCGGAACGACGTTCCAAACCCCCACTCACTCTTTTCCTGTCAGTACGAAGATGCTGGAGGAGACTGCTTCTACGGACAGCCCTGGAAGTCCCACGGAAGCCTGCGCAGCACGATGCATTGAAAAGGCTGCCAAAGACTCACCATGGCAAAGATAGGTCGACTCTCAGAATTCGACGTCGCCCATCCAGAGAGTGGAGCTCCTACGTCGCGAGTCAACCAAGTTCAGGAAGACGGATTGAAGACCACGATGCTGCTGTGTGTTTGCGGTCAAGCAACATTCGACATCGCAGAGAACTTGGCTGCACCAGCGCCGCTTGAGTCCATTGCATACGCAGAACTGAAAAAATGCTCAAGGAACATTTTGAGCCGAAGCTTTCGGTCATCGCTTGGCAACATGCTTTTGAACAGCGAGACCACTGCCCCAGCGAGATAGCCGCCGACTTCATAGCTGCTCTTCGCCAAGCTTCACGGCCATGCATATTCAAGGACCTTGAAGAACGGCTAATGGACGCTTTAGTTTGCGGTCTGAGGAGCCGAGAACTTCAACAGAAAATCTTTGCTAAAGAGACTGTCTCTTTTCAAGATGTGTTGAGGGAGATAATGGCCGAAGAAGCAGCAGGCGGAGCTGTTAAAGCCTTGCGGCTCTCCAAGAACCCTCCTTGCTTGGACACCATCCACCAAGAGGACGCCAAGAGGGTTGAAGACTCTGAATGGGACCACAAAGTCGATTGGTTACAGCAACCTCCAGAAAGAAGGCCTCAACTGCAATATGACAAGGCAGTTCCCTTCTCTCGGTGTTTCGGGTGTGGAGGCCACCACAAATGGATGGACTGCCAGTTCTGCACTGCAATTTGCTGGGCATATGGCAGGCAAGGCCATGTCGCAGCCGTTTGTTTGGGTCACAGAAAAGAACATTCATCGGAAGAGTTGCCTCGGAAAGGTACCGGGGTTCCCAGTCAGAACAGGTTGGGTTTTTGCACGAGTAGGAGGAGTGTATTTAGGATAGGTGTCCATTTCCCACTCAAGAAGAAGCTACACCTCGAAGTCAAGTTGCAAGGGTTTCCTTTCAACATGGAGTTGGGCACAGGTTCATCTCTGTCAATAATCTCCCAAAGCACACTGAAGCAGATTTGTTGTAGAAGCGGCCAACGAGTTAAGCTCAGGCCGTCGAACCTCATTTTAACAGACTTCCAGAATTCCCGGGTCAGTGTCAAGCGGGAGGCCACACGGGGTGCAATTTGGGAACTTCAAGGGCCCTTTGGATGTCGTAGTTGTCAAGGGCAACCGCACTAACCTAATTGGGCTTGATTGGTTTGATGCTTTGGGAATTCAGGTGACTGGGTTAAACAGTTTGGAAACTGCAGTGTGTAAAGAGTTTGCTGATGTGTTCAGCTCTGAGTTGGGGGCATACAAAGGGGCCCCAATTTCTCTCCGGCTTGACCCTAAGATAGCACCGATTAGGATTAAGCCTTGTTGGTTGCCTTTTGCCTTGAAGCAGAGAATCAATGCAGAGCTGGACAGCAGTCCATGGGAAACCCCCATTGTCACGGCACTTAAGGCCAACAGAGAAGTCCGCATTTGTGCTGACTATAAATGCACGCTGAACAAAGCTCTCCAGCCGCACTCTTATCCGGTGCCTTTAGTCAGCCACATCTTGGCTTCACTACAGGGAGGTTGCATTTTTGCCAAATTAGATTTGACACAGGCCTACTAGCAGCTGCCGGTGGATGACGCCACGGCAGAGGCCCAAACCATTGTAACCCACCAGGGGGATTTCAAGTTGCAACATTTACAATTCGGGGTTAATGTAGCCCCTGGCATTTTTCAGAGCGTGATGGAGTGCATGCTCAACAACATTCCGGATGTATGCCCATATTTCGATGATGTCCTCATAGCTTGGGAATCAGTCGAAAACCTCACTGACAGGCTAAGGGCCGTCTTGCGGCGTTTCTGCAAAGTGGGGCTGAAGCTCAAACAGGAGAAATGCAAAATTGGAGTCACTTTCACAGAATTCCTGGGATTTCGTATAGATGCCGAAGGCATTCATCCTGCTGAATCCAAGCTCAAAGCAATTCAGCAGGCTCCCAGTCCCAAGATGAAGGGAGAGCTTCAAGCCTTCCTGGGACTCCTTAATTTCTACCATGCTTTCCTCCCCCACAAGGCCACAGTGGCAGAGCCATTACACTGGCTCTTGGGCAAACAGGCCCCATGGAAGTGGACAAATGTCCACAAGAGGAGTTTTGCTGCAGTAAAAGCATTGTTGTCCTCAAATGTGGTGTTGGCTCATTTCAATGAGCAATTGCCAGTCTGCATCGCATGTGATGCATCCCCTTATGGGATCGGAGCTGTGTTAAGCCATTTTAGGGCTGATGGGACACAAGTCCCTATAGCATATTACTCCAGAACTCTTTCTGCTACAGAGCGCAATTATGCACAAATAGACAGGGAAGCATTGGCAATTATGGCGGGCATCAAGAAGTTTCACGACTTCTTGTATGGTCGCCATTTCATGGTCTTCACTGACCACAAGCAACGTCTGGGGTTAATTCACTATGAACAAGCAGACATCCCAAATTATCTCTCCTAGAATGTTGAGGTGGTCAATCTTCCTCTCTGCTTATGACTATTGCCTGGTTCACAAATTGGGTAAGGAAATGGGCCATGTTGACGGCCTCTACAGCATGTCAACATGGCCATGTTGACGGCCATGTTGACATGCCTCTACAGCTATTAGAATCAGATCCTGCACTGGCCAACCACATCCTGTCTATCCAGGATTTGCTGGAGTCTCCCCTCAATGTAGGGGAAGTTGCTGCAGAAACAGCTACTGATAACACGCTGAGCCGCATGTTGAACTGGGTGCTCACAGGATGGCCTGACACGTGTCCTAGCTCTAACTTCCAGAGTTTCTGGAAAAGGAAGCATGCGTTATCCACCTTTAAGAGTTGTGTCTTGTGGGGTAGCACGGTAGTGATCCTGACCTCACTGAGGACTAGAGTCCTCGATTCTCTGCATGAGGGACATCCAGGCATAGTCTGGATGAAGGCGCTCATGCGTAGCTACCTCTGGTGGCCTGGACTAGTTAAAGTCATTGAGGCCCAGGTCCACAGGTGTCACATTTGCCAGCAGTCAAGGCCAGAAATGCCACGTGCTCCTGTACATAGATGGGAGACCACACAACCCCCTTGGTCGAGGATTCATATTGACTTTGCTGGCCCCTTTCAGGGGCAACTCTTCCTCATTGTTGTGGACAGTCACTCCAAGTGGCTAGAGGTCGTTCCAGTGTCCACTATGACTATTGCCAGGACCTTCCAGGTGCTGAGGGGCATTTTTGCAATGCATGGGCTCCCAGACGTCATAGTCTCAGACAATGGGGCTCAATTTACATCCTCAGAGTTTCAGTTCTTTCTGAGGGCAAATATGATTAGGCATGCCACATCAGCTCCTAATGGCCAAGCGGAACGCATGGTTCGCACAACAAAGGAATCCTTAAAGAGGATCACCCATGACAATTGGCATCACAGGTTGGCAGACTTCCTCCTCTGCCAATGTACAACGCTCTGCACTTCTACGGGCAAAAGCCCAGCTGAGCTAAGATGGGGGCACCGGTTGATCACGAAGCTGGATTGCTTCGTGATCAACCAAGGCACTTGCAAGTGGGTGATCCAGTTTGGGCATGCAACTATGGACCAGGGGCACTGTGGGTGGTAACTGTGGTTTGCAAGGTGTCAGAGCCGCTCTCATATGAAGTGACCCTGGAAGTCGGTCATGTGCTCCGCAGGCACATTGACCAGCTGCATTGGAGGTTACCATGCCACTCTTCCGCTCCTGACTCTGCTCTCAGGGGGGAGGACGATCACGATTGTGATCGTGAATCTGAGTCTCTCGGTGAAGGTGGAGCAATGCAATCACCGAACGGGGTTTTTGCCAACGAGGCTGCTCCTAACTCAGGCACTGTGCCCATGGGACATTGCTCTCAATCGGTGCCAATGTGACATTGCTCTCAATTGGCTTTTTATACCGATCCGGTGGATTCTTCTCCACCGCGGAACTCTGGCTCAGGCCTACCGGAACAGGCCAGCCATAGGGAAATGGACAAAGGTTTGGATATACTGGAACAGGCCCGTCTTCACGAACCGGCTTCACCCGTATCAAACGAGTCACACAGGTCTGCCGAGCCTGGCAGGCGAGCTTGGAGATCGGGAACTAGCAGCAGCTCTGAGACGTTCGGAGCAGGCAAAAGGCTCACCGAAGTTTCTAAAGGACTACGTGAGGTTTTTGTCACTGCAAACCTAAAATGCTTATGTATTTTTATTGCAAACTAAAATGCTTATGTAAGTTCTTGGAACTTTGAATGCCTAAGTACTTTAATGTTTGTGCCTTTTTATAACCTGCAATGTTAAGTATTTTTAATACTGACAGTGTATTGTAAGGCTCTTTGTACCATTGAATGTCATTGTGTTTCCTTTGAAACGTGTGTAATCTTTGAACAACAAACAATGCTTTGTATGTGTTAAAGAACCAGGAGGGGAGGGGTGTAATGTATTGTGTTAAACTTATGTAAAAGTGCAGAGGTCTGTGCAAGGACCGTTAGCAGACCACGTACCTGCTAGCCAGACTTGCTGTCTGCACGGTTGATTAGTATGCATTTGAGCAGAATACGGTGCATTCATTGGCTGACACCGCCCAAAGCTGAATGTATAAATAGGGGCAGAGCCAGGCTTGTTAATTTCTGTTTTGTCTTCAGTAAAGAAGTACCTGTTTAATACTCCTGCCTCTTCAATGCTGAACCCAGCAGAAAACAGAACACTTAGTTAGACTATAAAATGCACTGGCCACAGTTGTAGAGATAACCTTCAATTCAGATGGTTTAGATCAGTGCTTTTCAACATTTTCACAGATTGTACCACTTTTAGGATATGGCAGTATTCGAGTATCACCAGTTGCCTAGCAAGGTGTCAAAAGCTTGATGACCAAAAAAAAAAAGGAAAAAAATTATAAAGTACAGATAGTCCTTGACTTACAACAGTTCACTTAGTGACTGTTACAATGGCACTGAAAAAAGTGACTTATGACTCAGGGTCACGTGATTTACATGCAGATGCTTAGTAACTGATTCATATTTATAATGGTTGCAATGTTTCAGGGTCATGTAATCCCCTTTTGCAACTTCTAACAAGCAAAGTCAATGGGGAAACCAGATTCACTTAACAACCGTGTTACTAATTTAACAACTGCAGTGATTCACTTAACAAACGTGGCAAGAAAAGTCGTAAAATGGGACAAAACTCATTTAACAAATTTCTCATTTAGCAACATAAATTGTGGGCTCAATTGTGGTCATAGGTTGAGGATTCTCTGTACACCCACTTATCACACTTTTAATGGGAAACTTGTGCCTGTTTCTCTGACATTAATCTTTGCACTGTTCTATCCCCTTGTCTCCCTCTGCTTGTCTCAAAGAAGCCTCTCTTCTTCTCTGTCTCTCTTTCTTTGTCCCCTTCTCTTTCCCTGTCATCTTTTCTTTCTCTCCCCTTCCTGCCAAAATCTCCTGCTTTTATATCCTCTCCTCTCCCCCCCCTCCTCCTTTTCTCTTTGGTGCAACTCCAGCTGACTCCTCCTTCCCAAGGTTGCGCTTTGCTCCCGGAAGTGCCAATCAGCTAGAGCCCCGCGCCAATCATCTGGAGCCCCACGCCGATCCTGGGTGCTCAGCAGAGCCCTGGCAACACTGCAGCTCTAGTAGACTCCCCCACAGGCCTGTGCAGTGCTGCCACCACTTTAGCTCATCCTCCCACTACACTTTTACACTTTTTTACACTTTTTTTTAACAGTGCTTTTCAACCCGTCGTATGCGTACCACCTGACAGGTGCCTACGTACCACCAGTGGTACATGTACCCTGGGTTGAAAAGCACTGGTTTAGATGATTCAGTAAGGGGACTGGATATGAAGACATCAAGTTATCAATGGCTGCTAATTTTGGTGTCAGTTGACTACCTCCAAAATCTCAGGCAGCATATTTAATACTTAAA